TATTAGATCTACATATATATCATCATGATATACAAATGTACTAATTCTTTTCCTATTTTGATATTATTAATAAATAATAAAAAAAAAAAAAAAAAAAAAAAAAAAAAAATATTGGTCCTTTATTAAACGTAGAACTCATAAAGAACTCACAAATCTAGCACTTTGCTTATTTGGAATTTGTATCAATAGTGCTTCTGTTGAGAGATAATTTTCAATAATGGGATTTTTGCATAATAAGTGAAGAAATAAACTTGAGGTATGTTATATTAAATTTTATTAAAAATTCTAATTACAAGAAATATAAGTATAATACTATAACTTGTTATAACTATAAAAAGTTATAACATTTTTGCTATAACTCATTATAGTTACAATAAGTCGTAGCATTATACTAACTAATATAATTATTTTTTAGTATAAAAAAGTTTTTGAAATGAGTCAACTACGAGGCAAAATTATACAAGAACGCAAGTTAAAATCTATTGAAAAAACAGCAAAACAAATCCATAACTCTAATATCTTATTACCAATAGTTTCTAATTCTGAAGAAAACTATTCGTTTCAAGAATCAGATTTGGAGCTTGATCAAGTTGATGATAATAAAATTAATAACAATATTTAGTGGGAAGAAGTTGTTGCAAATTGGTTGATGCTTTTAAGAAATGAACAGTTTGAAGAAGATTTGGATTCGACAGAAATAGATGAAACAGTTCATCCTGCCACTAGTCAAGAAGCTAAATAGCTTTTATTACAAATTTTTCAAGATAATATTGAGCAACCCGATTCATGTAATTTGTTATTGAGAAATTAAATAGTCAGAAATTTATAATAAAAAAATTATTTTAAATTTTTTATAATATTTGATATAAACTACATATGATTAGCTAGAGCTAGGGAGCGAAGTAAAAGCTATTTAAGCCTTACTCAACTAAATTTTAGGAATGTCCGGCCCCCAGTTCACTTTATTCAAAATTTAGGTTCAATTACCAGAATTAAATCTAAATTAGGTTCGACGTTTGAATAACGAATTCTTAGTTTAAAGTATAGTAGCTGATATTTAAAAATTCTCTTACTCTACTGAATGTCCGATTTTCAGTTTGACTGATCTAATTTTTAGGTTGCATATCCAGAAATTGAATCTAAATCAGGTTCAATATTTGGATGCTGAATTTTGGTTTAAAATACTGTAGCTGACTTCTAATAAAATAAATTAACAGACTTTTAATAAAAAAAAAATAGTTTATCTATTAGAAAATAATAATTACTTTGTATTAGTGATGCAGTAGAATCATTCTAATGATTGTTGTAACTGAGTTTAAATTTTCGTAACTTGCCACAGCTATAGTAAATAATAATAAATTATGGCATTATAGCTGTAACTTATTATTATTTACTATAGTTGTGCCAAGTTACGAAAATTTAACTCAGTTACAACAATTATTAGGACGCATCACTACTCCATATAAATATATATCTTATTAATTAATAAAAATTATATAAACTATAAATGACAAGCATAGTCATAAAAAAATAAATGATATTTTTATGACAAAAATGACTTGTCATATAACAAGATATCATTTATTTTTAAATGACAATGTGCTATCACTGTTGGTAGTAGCTTGTTTAAACATTTTACTCTAAATATTAGTACCTTGCTTCTTTTAAGGCTTATGCATTTCTTGCCTTAGTAGTTTTTGAGTACACTCCATAAGCTTTTTCAATTGATATCTTCATTATTATTACTTCCTGACCTAACATATATTATATCTTTTGAACTACTAAGTTCTGCTTATTCAGTTTCATATGTTATTGCTATTGTAATATTTACAAAAGATCTGATCAAACAATCTATAAGCTTACTCTTCTATTTTAGAAGAACTTTTAGGTTATCTGTATTCATATTATTAGCTATAACAGATATGTTCAAACTCAGATCCTCTTTAGCTAATACATCTACTCTATTATTTCAGAGATTATTACTGTATCCTTTAACTTTTGTTAGATTAAAACTAATATATTTTGCCTTATAGCAATCCTTGATTTGTTATATTAGATTGCGATTCTTAATCTTAAATATTTCTTGAATAGTGCTTACTGATTCTGTAGCTTGCAGACCTTCTATAGCTACTTTACTATTTGTAAAAATATTTAGACTTGAATTATATAGCACTACTAAAGCTGCTATTTAGATTGCATCAAGCTCAGCATGAGTTAAAGAGAGCTAATCTACTAAACTACTACTAAAACTAATACTATTTTAAATACTTATATCTTTATTAGCTATTACCCATTCTATTCTCATTTTGCCAAAATCTAAGCTATCTAATTCTCTGTTCACCAACGAACTATCTGTATAGATATTTATTTCCTTCTTCCTTCTAATTTTCCTTGCAATATCTATAAGCTCTATCTAAATACTTCTTTTTTCTATCACTCTTTGTATGATCATTTTTCTAAGTTTGCTACTCTAACTTGTATACTATCTTGTAACCTATTATATTCTATTATATCACTACAAGAATATCTCAGAAACAATGAGAATAAGACCTTTATTTCTATTAGATTTTCTTTTTTCTTTGTGACTTCACTTAACAACTAAAATTGTTTGTTTGAATTTTCTGTAATAATATATTCTGTGTTATTTTTACAACCTAGGCTGCATTCTTCACACTGAGATAGTTTTGTTTGCAGATTATTACTACTCTCATCTACTTTCTAGTATACTAGTATAAGTCTTTTTTTTGTATTCTTTAATATTTTTTTTATTATCATCATATTGTTTTTATTTATTATAATCTATTCTTTCTTTCTTTTGTCTATACTTCTACTATACTTTCCTACTTTTAGTGTAGTCTAATTTATCTCTAATGTTTGAAAAGTATTTAGTACTTCTCTTGATGAACTATCTCTTAAAATCTTTACTTCAAGTTCTTTAAACCAGTTTGGCTTCTAACCTCTCATTTTACCTTCTCTTAAGAATTTAATCTGTTACTATTGGAGCATAAGCTTGCTATTTTTTTCTAAGAGTTGGTTTACTGTAAATAAGTTTAGATTTTTGCTTTCTATAAACTCATTTAATAATTTGCCTTCTAATAGCTCACTTATTTCTAAGCTATCTATTTCTAGATTGTTTATATTTCTAAGCGTCTCTTGAAATCTAAAGCCAAGCTTTGCTATATTACTGACTATGTTATATGATAAATTGTTTTTCATCTTGTTTACTTTGAACTTACATTTTTTGTCAAGTAGGCTAAATTTAGACTTGCATTTCAGTTGAACATCTTTAAGTCTAAGCTGCATTATAATACCTATTCTCTCATCTTAATTTAGTTATAATATTAATTCAGTAAAATGATATACTATTTAGTTTTGTCAGATAGATCTCAGCTCTAGTATACTCAAATGACTACAAATACTGTTAGCAGCTGATTTTATAAGTTCGAGTTTGTTTTTAATTAGCTACTAAATTAGTCTCTGAATTTGGTCATATTTTATTTTTAAAAGAAAGAAGGTTTGCAATTTGTACTTAATACTAGAAAGTAAAACTATTGTTCAGATATATTAGTTAACTAGCTGATGCTTTTTTGAATCTGATTGTTTTGTATATCTTTGCTACTTCTCTTGTGATAATTTAATATTGCACTTGCTACTTCTTTTCTCTGAGATCTAGACTTCTAAATATCTAATAGCTTCTATACCTCTTTTTGTATATATGAGATTATTGTTCTTACCAACTTTTACTACAAAATCTGAGTTACTATTGCTTTTCATTTGTTTATGATTTAATACAAGAAGTTCAGATTTCTTCTCATTAATTTTAATATCGTTTAAATCATAGAATTCATTTGATATTCTAATAATTTCTAAAAATTCCTTTTTTGACTTTGCAATCCAAGTTGTATCATCTGCATATGCTAGTACATCTTGTCTCTAACTATGTTTTTGGGTTTTGTTATAGTTAATATTTACTGGCTATTCTATGCTCATTTCATAGCTAAACTTTTTTTTATTTTGAATCATGTAAAGTAATAGATCATAAAAAATATACTAGAGCAAAGAAGACACTACTTTACTCTAGTCAAGGCTATCCTTTACTAAAAACTCTTGTGTTAATCTATAGCTAGTTATGACCTTTATTTCTCTCATGTAAAAAAAGCTTAACAAGAATTTAATTATATTAGCTAGGATTTAAATTCTTCTTAGTACTTTTTCGAGTATAATAAGACTAACAAAGTTGAAAGCTTTCTTCATATCTTGAAAAAGTATCTATATTTCTTTATTCTTTTCTCTAGCTTCTTTGATGAGATTGTTTATAATATGAATTTGGCTACTTGTACTGCAGCTTGTTAAACCTGCAAAATTTGGCTCTTTTAGTATACTAAACTTAGTAGTACTTAGTTAAGTCTCTTATTTACTACTTGTACTACTAATTTTTGAAATGCTTCAAGTAGTATAATTGGTTTAATATTTGAGAGCTTGTAGTTCTAATCTTCTTCTTTAGGAATAAAGTATAGTTAACTGATCTTCTATTTTATTAGTATATTATTTTCCTTAATGTACTTGTTTGCTAATACTAAAAAGATTCTATATCCTACACTGTTGCTTTTTTTATTAGTAGGTAGCTAATTCCAGAAGAGCCTAGTACTAACTTAGACTTGACATCTTTGAGTACTTCTTGTTATTTTTGTAATAACATTAACTTATTCAGAGACTCATATATGTTTTTATTAATTTCTTCTAGAGGTTTATATTCTTTATTTCTTCTGTTACAGTTATCCCCCTCTATAATCACCTCCTATATAATCACAACTCCTATATAATCACATAAGTTTGTATTACATTTTTTTTATAATAAAAATACTTTTTTATAATCACATTATTATTTATAATCACTATCATATATTTTTAATTTGTTAAAAATATTTTTATATAGGATTTTCCCTTGATATCATCACTTTCTAAAAATGTATTTAAATGATTTTTTTTTTT